TCTTGAACGCGTTCATACTCGGAGCGCCAACGATGTAATCAGGTAGGCTGTTCCACTTGTCGGTGATTCGAAGCGAGAAGAAATGTTGTCGCGTGGACAAGTTGCAGCGCAGTTTTTAAACTGAGGCTTGGAACGTCGATAACTGAGGCTTGGAAACTTTATAATCTTTAATCTTTCTTCATATTACTTGCCCTTAAAGCCTGGAATTATCCTTGTTGCGCGTCTTTGAGCATTCTCTAAAAAATTTTTGTTCTTTACAAATCTCGGTGACCACACAACGTTTCCAAACTCTACATTCGGACGCACGAAAGCAACAAACAACTGCTTCATCGCTTCCGCATCTAGGTACTCGTAAGAGCGTCTAGCTGAAGAAGTTTGTTGGATGTGTTAGCTTGCGTTTCAACATGCTTAGAAAATTTCAGCTCCTTGTCGACATAAACTCCGAGATCTTTTCCACACCAGACTTTTCAATCATTACTCTCTCGTTGTAACCATGTCTTCTCATACTCAGGGCTGGGCAGCGCTACTTTGAAATGTAGAGGCCGCTACCGCTACATGCTCTAAATGTAGCGGGCGCTACCGCTACCGCTACAATTGCTTAAATGTAGCGCCGCTGCCGCTACCGCTACATGTAGCGCGCTACTGCCTACTTCTGGTAACAACTAACATGTTGACACTAGTAACAGGCTGAGGTTGACAACATTACAGCGAAATCTTTCGTACAGTTTTATTCTGTAATTTATATTATGTATGTATCATGCTGGTTTTTAAATAATATTTGATACTATTAAGTAAAATCTAAAGGCTTTATATATAAATGTAGCGGTGGCGCTGTAGCGGCAAAACCTCGTATCGCTACTTAAATATGTAGCCTGTGAACTGAAGCCCTGTGAATATATCACAGGGCTGATATTATATATATTTATAATATCAGCCCTGTGAACTAAACACTGTATTATAAACTGCAATTGCGCTTTATTTGACGCATCCTTCACTGTATTATAAACTTTTGTATCGTCGGCATACATGGAGCACACGGAATACATGGAACACTACTTCTGGCAGATCATTTATAAAAGCAACTAACAAAATAGGCCCAAGAACGCTTCCTTGTGGCACGCCACTGCGCCCAGTCTGAAACGGTCTGAAGCCCAGTCTGAAACGGTTCCGTTAATACTGACACGTTGTCGTCTACCTACTAAAAAGTCTCTGATCCATTGGATGTTTGTTTCGAATAGTTGATTGATTGACGAATTTATTCGATTGCGGCGAATAATTGATCGTTTGCAGGAGGAGAATAGTCGCTCGTATTTATATGGCGAATAATTGATCATGTGCACGTGGCGAATAAGCGATCGCTTGCACGTGGCGAATAATTAATCGTATATGTATGGCGAATAACTAATCGTGCGCACGTGGCGAATAGGTGATCGCTTGCATGTGGCGAATAAGCGATCGCTTGCATGTGGCGAATAAGCGATCGCTTGCTCGTGGCGAATAATTGATCGTATGTGTATGACGAATAATTAATCGTGTGCATGTGGCGAACAAGTAATCGGTCGCATGTGGCGAATAAGTGATCGTTTTCTTGTGACGAAAAAAATTACCTCCTTGATTGATCTAACATGCATGTGACTGATCGTTTGCATCTGGTAAAGCATGTATGTGAGGCTCCGCTAATTTTTCTTTGTGATGAACTTCCAACTGGCGGTTTTTTATTGGACCATGTTTGAAAAATAATTTTCTTTAAACTTTTAATTTTATAATCACACTTATGAGCCGCATCAGTGGGAGCAAAATATAATCCTTCAAAGCTTAATAATGACAACTAATTTAAAGCTAGAGTGATTTCATTGATTAATCTCGATGAAGAAAGGAGAGCGATCTCTTGAAAATTATATGAGAATCAATTTCACGTTAATGCATTTTACTTCAATACATTGGTTATTGTATTTTACTTTAATAACCAATGTATGTTACTTCAATACATTGGTTTTTCTTTCAGTCAGCGTCAGTGGTAAAGTCAACTTCGGCCAAAAATTTAGAGTCCCCGTCATTTGGTGAGCCAGAAAATAAAGCTTTTGGCGGCACGGTCCCTACCGCGGCATCGTGGGGACCGTAGTTAAAATGACATAACTTGGCCGTAACGCTGCATCTTTGACATAACTTGGCCGTAACGCTGCATCTTTGATATAACTTGGCCGTAACGCTGCATCTTTGACATAACTTGGCCGTAACGCTGCATCTTTGACATAACTTGGCCGTAACGCTGCATCTTTGATATAACTTGGCAGTAACGCTGCATCTTTGACATAACTTGGCCGTAACCCTGCATCTTTGACATAACTTGGCCGTAACCCTGCATCTTTGACATAACTTGGCCGTAACGCTGCATCTTTGATATAACTTGGCCGTAACGCTGCATCTTTGTCATAACTTGGCCGTAACGCTGCATCTTTGATATAACTTGGCCGTAACGCTGCATCTTTGACATAAATTGGCCGTAACGCTGCATCTTTGATATAAGATGATGCCTAGAAAAAGTAGCCTCAGACTTCAGCGTAGCAATTGAGACGCTCAGCGGAAAACAATTAGTAACCGAGCATGGGCAGAATATTTAGAAGGGAACATTTGAAAAAAAAACGTACGCAATTGGATTCTAATGACAATGGAAGGAACTCTTCAGTAACAGACATAGAGACGCTATATGTGCTTCATTGGATGTCGGGCGGATACAGGAGTTATTTTTATTTGGCTTAGCTTCTGCGAAGAACAGGTTACCGGGAAGTAACGGCTACATTTTAAAATAGGGTTTTTGTCCGCGGGCCCAATGACACGTGGACGATAAAAAATTCAAGACATATTCCAGGTCAAAATATAGATTTACAAACTAAGAGACATTCCATCGTCGCTAATGTCCACTTGAATTAATACGAATAAGAGAAGATATTCAATGACCAATGACACGATCATATAGTAGAGAGGAGGCTGGCTCCCGACTACAGTGCAGACACCTCCGAAAACAGTCCTGCATGTAAATCATTGTCCTCGGTCGCGGTTTAAAAGTGCGGCGACTAGAAAACTGGAACGCGGTGCGTACCACGAGCGGCCAATAGTTGGCTTGCTACAACAGGAAAAAGTCTGAACAAGAAAAATATTGGGTGAAAGTCGGATGCAAATAAATTCGTTGCTCTACTTGCATCTGGTGCTATCATGTCGAAAACAATTCTGAAATTTGCGTGGCTGTTTAATAAATAAATTGACCCCACAACTGAGACTTGCAATCAAGACACCGCGAGCGGTGTCTTGATTGCGGTGGGGCGCTCAGGAACAATCCCCTTAGGAGCGTAGCATCTTAGAGAGACGAAGGAATAAGATGGCAACAAAGCAGGGGCAAATGAACAACAAAAACAAAGACAGAGTAGAAGGAACAGCAACAGAAACTAAAAAGCTAAGGTGAAGAGCAAACAAAGACAAAGAAGGTCGCTTGCACGAGTGCCCTCCTCAAAAAGGACGAGTTTAAAAGGACGTACGACGCTACAAACTGCTGTGGGGCAATCACGAGCTATGTCCACTTGAGCGCGAAATGCCAGAGAACGTGACCAGAAAATTATGTTTCTACGATACTGGTGTCAATACACTAAGTTTCAGCATGGTAAGGACAATAAACTTGGATTCGTCAGATAACTTTTGTAATTACACTTTCGACTGCCAGCTTCAAGCTGAGCCACCAACTACCTAGGACAAACTTGACCACGCGTGACCCTATCCCGGTGCAACCTTAAACGTTAATCACCACAACCAAATTACCAGTGCATGGCATCCTGGGCATACTGCTGTTAAATTGCGTTGAACGAGTTACTGCTTATTCAGGAATGAAGCATTACTGGCAGATGAAAATTACATTTTGAAAATAAAAACTAAGTCAGAGTGCAAAAGGTTAAACTATTAAATTATTCTAATTAAGACAAATTTGTTTCGTATCTGAAAAAAATAATGTAAAATGATGGTAAAAACTTGATGGGATTCACTCCCATCATCGCAGTATCTCGTTATACAATCACGTCAAACACAGCCAAAATATAATTGAATTCACACAATTGTAAGATCCTACGATGTGAAACCTGAACGTCGATGGCAAAAATAATCCTCAAAGCGAACCAGCATTCAACTATCAAAGTCAGGATTGAAAGCCCTAAAAAACCTATAAACAATTGTTCGTGCCTTACACGTTAGATGCTTCGGAGTGCAGTGGTGCTGCACATCTATTCCTATTAAATGCAAGTTACCTGAACAAACAATTATCTTGACATTACCAACTGTCCTTCATAACAGGAAAAATCTAAAACGTACCACACGATTGTTGAAGAGCCAGAATAATGTAAAATTTAAATGCGCATAGCGTACGGCTCAAGCTCGCGTTATTCAGAGATATTTTAATGAGCGCTGTGAGAAAAAGTATTGAGCATAACAATCATTGCTGCTACCAATCATTGAAACTCACGCCACACCGTGTTGAAAATCACACCAGTGCATATATACGTATTTATTCATATATTCATCTGACAGCCTCTGTTTATCGTTAAACTCTAGTAAACAAATTAACGCAAAATGTGGTTACAGATGGAATGGTGCGCAATATGGATCGTTTTCATCGTCTCCCATGTCTATTGTTATCAAATCACAAATGCATTTGACTCAAAAAGTAGGTATGTTTAGTAGCAATGCGTTGATGCTCAAGTTTCCTGCTGAAGATAGGCCATGAAGTGCAAGATAAAGTAAACAAAATAGCCGCTTGCCCTGGGCTTAGGGTCAGAAACTTCCTTCGTTGACATATAGCGTCCATGATGAAGAATAGCCTATTATTCAATACTTAATTTCACACGGTACACTTTTTAAGCGCAGTGACAATTTTAGACGTATTCAGGTAGTAATGATTGTAGAATTTATCATAATGGAACTAAACTACATAAATAAATAACAATCAACACTCGGATATCTGAAGGTGAGTACAGACTTCGAACTTAGGTTACATCACATAAATGGAGAAGGAAACAACAAAGACAATAAATAACAATAATAAATAATGAGGATTAAAGAATCAGAATATGCCAGCACACAGGTTATGAGCTAAACAGGCGATGATTCAACGCGATAAAAATCCCACACTATAAATAAAACAAACCAAACTACTTATTCTACCTCAAGAAACGTAAGAACATTAATACGGCCATCAATTGAAACCAAGTAAATAATATAACAAATCCCAAATTTCAGACATTGCTGCTAAGTAACATCACAGAAAATAATAATATCGTTACAAATTTAGGACGCCTATTTAGAATTATTTATCTTTCACATAAAAGTTACAAATAAAACAAAAAAGGAAATGGTCAATATTACGTATCAGGAACAGCAGAGCGTGCAAGACTTGAAAGGGCACATGGCTTCCACTTCTACGGCTTTGGCGCGTAGCTACGAGTGTTGGCTACTGACGTTCTTGATCAAACTATAACAGTGATGAACTTCAGACGACCAACTGACATCGTGCAAGATCTAGATGAGAATTTGATTATAATGATTATCCTCATCGCGCATGATTACGATTACTGTACACCAATTCTCATCTCATGAGAACTTAGTGAATTTTGACTATCTTTTTTCTGTGGGCAAAAATGGCAGGAAAATAATTTAATAATCATTGAGATGCATTTAAGAAAAACGAGCATGAAGTTCCGGGTGCACAGGAGCATTTCGGTCTCAAGAAGTTATGGCGCCAACGTTAGGCAAGATGAACGCTTCTCAAGTTGCGTACACACAAGCTCAGTAGCTGGCCAGTGATCACAAAATTATCATGGAACGAAAATTATATTTATGAGAATAATTGCTGAACTATCGAAAAAAAACATTGAAAAACAGAAAGATAAATGGATGACTAGCGTAGTATAACAACAAGAAATATAACAGAAGGAAATACTATCGAAAAACAACACAGAAAACGCAAGCTCGCCTGTTAAGGTGAACAGTCTCGTCCGACTTAAATGAAGATATGTCATGGCTTAACACATAACTTCTTTGGCTTAAGAGTAGGAATGTTTTCACTACGCACTCTGCTGAGTAACTTAACAAAACAATGAGCTACATGAATGAATAGACCGACATTGGAATAAATCTACGAAAACATTAGAAACGATAATACTCTAAACAATGATAATCACGTACACAATACTGGACTATTAAACACCCAGTTTCCTATCATGTAATTAGAGGATGTGAAAAATTGAGACTAAGACGCAAAGCTGAATTGAAAGGAAATATTGTTTTGATCCTCAAAGGAACTTTTGATCCTCGTTAAGAAACTGTTTTGGATGTTGAAGAACAATACAAATTCAAGCATTGTTAATTCATGAGCAAAAAAAAAATTGAGTAATAGCTCGAGATTTATGGTCTTGTTCAACTCTAAGTTAAAAAAAGTAAACTCTAAAACAGTTATATTCAATTTAGACATAATTTATTGTGAGTTGGCATTGCTTCGACTGGATAATGTGATAGAATTTGTTTCCGGTATCAGTACTTATTAGCCCTCCCCGCATGGTGGGAAGTGACTGCCCATGCCCTTAAGCCATTTAACATCTGCACAAACGCTTTATTCAACTCATGTTAACTTGTTTAAATGAAACAATAGTATTATTCATATACCTATGAGTATCGTCAATAATGCAATTTCTGTAACGTAAATATTAATTAAAAATTGACCTTGTATTCACTTCGAAATAACGTAATTAATAACAAATTCGTTGGAGAAATTACATTTCTTCTAGTAAACAGCCCTTACATTTGAAAAAACAGACGATCTGTTAAGTGCCTTAAATTTGCTCTTTAATTACGACAGCTTTCAAGCTGCGAACCAGTCGAGATAAAATACAATTTGAAATCTTAATTAAACTGAACGTAATAAAAACGCAAAGCAATATCAAAGCTAAAAGTTGCTTATATGCCGAGTCTGATCAGTTGACTTGGTCATAAACTAGACTCCAGTAACGTACTAACGTGTGCTAGGCTAACATCAACACGAAATCATAGAAGTCGTGAGTATGAAATGTCTTCCTCAGCAGCAACTTTGCTTGGAAATAAACACCGTGCAGCCGTGACTATGAGTAATTACTGGGAGAACAAATTCATTATAGTGAAATTATCACAAGTGCATCATTTTTGAATCCATCATCACACAATAAAACATAAGCAACTCATTGCTGAGTCTCCATCACAAATTACTCAATTCCTCGGGAGCCAAAACGGTAACACGAAGGAGGGACAAGTCAACCGCTACAGAAAGTAAAAGACTTCGTCGGACTTCTAACGAGCAAAGGCACGCGCCAAAACACCATTGAGTAGCATCGATCAATAAATAATTCTATTCTAGCTTTGAAAACAACCTTAGCCTAAAAAAAATAATTCACGTAAAAAAGGCAAACTAATCGCAATATAAATAAAATAGCAGGAATATAACAATTGTCATTTGAAAAAAATAGTAATTTTCCAATTGTTTTTATTCATGTAAGTCTCATGAAGTCGGTGGGTAAACCTCAGTTCAAGCAACAGTAAAGAGTTAGCGCTGAACGACTCGTGGCAGAGCAACCCTCCTCAGAGTTATGCTCAGTAAACACAACGTCGAACCAATGCCATAAAATAATAACGTTTTGTCGCGTCTTCGGCATTTGACAATATCAAAACTCATCACACAAATAAGAAAAAAGTACACATACATTAAATATTATAGGTCCAATGTCAACAGGATTAGTCAGTAACTGATGACCATGTCTCGTGTCAGGAGACATGGAAAATGAGGTCTTACAAGAGGCGAAATTTCAATTACCTGTTTCATCTAAAGGCAAGAATAGCTGCGCATCAGAGCAAAAATTTATATTTTGGATAAATGAGCACATAGTTGAATTGATATTAGTATTTAAAAAATGGTCAATTATTTCCGTTAAAATAAAATTGTATCCAAAGCTCAATAAAGTTATTCCAGACACACCAAACTTGAACAATCTAAGTCAATTGGTCTCCTAAAAAGTTCCATTAACATCGCAGAACTCACGCTTGACCAGTGACTAGCGTGAGCATTTTCATTCCTTGCAAAATTCTCCTCCAATTTTACTCCTAAATTGACATTGAAGAAGGCAGTTGGAAAAACACTTACATATTAGGATTTCCACGCGTTCACAGTACCATGTTATATAGGAGCATGAAATTATTTCTTAACAACATCGTCACACAGATAAATAACTAGGTTAACATAACCGCCTGCAAAAGAATAAATAGTACCTTTAGCCGTTCGGCAACGATTATAACTGTAGTGTTCTAGAACCAGTTCCCGATCTGAAGCGCTGTTAGTGTTGATTGCAATTGCTAATAATATTTAATTTACAGACTATGAATCGGCTCGAACATTTTATGCTCTCACCTTGTTTAGATCTTGATTACCTTCCATTGAATACATATTTATATTCTGCAAGTAGACACAGGAAAAAGTTTCCAGACATCACTAACACAGAGAAGATCAGGCACACGCGCGACGAGAACAATTGTAAAGCACGTCTACTTTATCCATGATGTGCGGATGCTAGCATTGCTCGTGCTTGTTGACAGCGTCTGTTTTCTGAAAGCTAAGGCTGCAGTAATGCTTGTAGCGCAGACGAGCATCTCTGAGCACGTGATGAACGTCGTGTTTACGCATGAGCTTGTCGAAGTGCATCGCCAGATCGTTGTGGTCCAACTGCTGCGAGATGATGGTGTCGCGGTGCTGTAGGAGGATCGAAACGCACACGATCATCAGGAATGGGTTACCTCCACCGAACTCATGAGGAGGGGGCAAGGAACCCCCATTGAGGCCCACACCCCCAACCCCGACTGCCCAACCACCACTGAGATCGTTCATGACCGAGGACTTCCCACTGACGGGTGACGTGTGACTAGGAGAAGGTTTAGCAGGAACCAGACGAGCTCCTGCACCCGTGTCTTCCTTAAGGAGTTTGGCGACGTCGCCGTCAGTGTGGCTGTTCGGGATGACAGATCGTGCAGGCCTCAGTGACACGGTGGGTGCGTTGACGGGACTTGACGCCACAGGATTTTCCCAGACCTCGACACAAAGCTCCTCCTCAGCCGCGACCGCGTCCGAATCTAGAAAATTTGCGAAGGCAGCGTCGCTCTCAGAGAAACAACGACGGGAGCACTCGACAGCGCACAAGACGCTGCTCGATGAAGAGCCACCGAGAGAACAGTAATCACCAACAGCGTCCTGTAATGATGAACCGTCGCTAGGCACACGATGCGCGCAATCCGAACCATTTGAACCCGTGGATAAACAAGACGCCGGCGCTCTGATACCTTCAATTTTTGATGTTGCATCAGGCACTTCTGGAGTTTGGAAAGTCGAAAAGGTTTTGTTAGACTTGACGTTAGGTTTACTTGCCCCATCGTTTTGTATTTTCATTTTAGTACTATTAGAGTGAGCTGGCGAAGAGGAAGAATCTACGTTTGGACTGGCGATGGAATTATCACAAGAAGTGAGCTTTGAAACAATAGGGTCATTTGTAGTCCCAACAGTATATTCCAGGTGGTGAGGAATGAGTTCATTAGAGGTAGGTTTGCTGGGACTTGGGTAGCTAAGTTGAGCATCATGATTTGTTTTCAAGGGAGAAGCGTTTTCACTGATACCAGAGCTTCTGCTGGGCGAGTCTTGTTCGCTGCGAGACGATTTTTTGGAACTGCGTCCAAGTTCCATGAATTCTTTGAGATTTTTTATTTTTCTGGTGGGCGTTACGTTAGCTTCGATATACCCGAGGGCATCACCTGCAGAGCCGCTCTTCACATCACCAGCAGCGCTGCTCTTCACACTGGTGAAGACGTCGTCACTGACACCCGCGGTGGTGAGCTTGACGCCTGCCTCGGTGGACACGCCATCGCTGGCGTCAGCAGCACCGTTCATGAAAGGCTTGAGTGGCTGAGATGCAGCGCGTGTCAGCTGCACGCTGCGAGACGAGCTACGACGTGTCAGCAGAGCTGCCTCTGAGCTGCGCTGACGACGTAAGGCGCAGACGGCGCTGTAGTTGCTGACGCGCTTTCCATTGCGCAGTTGTGACAGCAGACGCGCAGACGCGAGGGCTGGCAACGGAGAACTGGTGGCGAGAGCGGCCGCGTTCTTGGCGGCGCGCACCAGAGCCTCGGGATCGAACGGAACCTGCGAACGCGATTAAAATAATAGTCTTTGTGGGTTGTTATCAACGTATTCCATTACAGGCCATCGCAAAAAGCGCCGGTAACTACTGTATCAACAAATTGGCAAAATCAGCACACACATTTTTAGTAAAATGACGCAAGCGGAAATACAAGGAAAAAATTGACCCTGATTTTTTGTCGTAAAATTTCAACACAGAAAACGACTAACAACCAAATAGTCCAAAATTAATGTCAGGCGGCAGAAAAGTCAGCACTCAGGAGAAACAACTTGTTCATATACGAACGAAGGAAAATCTTATAACGTAAATTGCAGGACGATCAAACAGGTATATACCTCAGCAAGAGGCAGGGTGTGTGAGGGGGGCCTGGGCGGTAGGGAGGACCACAGCACCTCCAGCATGAGCTGCGCGTCGTCGAACGCAAACTCGCGCTTCAGCTCCAGCAGCAGCCAGCGATAGCAGAACAGCAGGTCGTCCGCCTGCCGCGCCCATCATAAGTCACGGGGCTTATTTTGATGAACTTCACAACTCTCTTTAAGGCGAGTACCTATCTTACTAACTCATGATTTAGAGCCCCACACACCTTGTGACTCTAATCGCTGTCTTTACAGAGCCTACTTTATGCAATATGTTTATAGATAGTAACATTGACCACTTTACTTATAGAGAATGCCTGCATCACTCTCTTTGTACAGCATACCATACCATACCACATATATATATATATATATATACTCTATATATACCCACTCTCTTGGTGGAGCATACTTGACCACACTCTTTCTAGCAAACGAAAAGCTTATAGAGGGAAAGATAAACCAAACTATCTAGAAATATATCCACTCACTTTTCTAGCCAGAAGCTGAACATCCAAGCACTCAATTGAATGGCGTTTCCAAAGACCCTGCGTGACTCGCCTGGTGTTCCTGAAGGTAGAGATAGAAGTCAGGGTCATAGAAGACGAGCGCCTCAGTGAGGTGCTGGAACTTGAGGCTCATAGCGGCGCCGTCCACGTGGAAGTTTGCGCTGAGTCTCGCCATGAGGGCGCAGAAGCAGACGTACGCGTGCGCCTCGTCGCGCTGCGTGAACAGCAGCGGTGACGCCAGGTCACTCATGCCCTGGCAGTACCCCACCCCAGGGTGGTTCAGAGAGTACCTGTGGGTATAGAACACTGCAGTGTACTCAAGTACTCAAGTACAAAAACAGCAGCGGTGACGCTAGGTCACTCATGCCCTGGCAGTACCCCACCCCAGGGTGGTTCAGAGAGTACCTGTGGGCATAGAACGTTGCAGTGTACTCAAGTAGAAACGGACTATCTCATGTATGGTCAATATTAAGTATAAGCATTGGTTTTTAAAAATCTTTTTGGATATTTATTTATTTTCTACTTTTTAATTAGCAATTTTAGCAATTCAAATCATTTTCCAGGGTGTGCAAGTGTGGATGTTGGAGAAAAAACTCAATTCCAAACCATGAATTTTTAGTGCTTTTTTTTATTTAATTTTTTTTTTCTAAAAAAATTTTTTAAATTATTATTTCTGATGGTCAAATCTTGAATTGTTAGGCAGCATAAGCACGCATGCCATATTTCAAGTTTCTAGGATGTTCAGAAGAGCTCTAAATTAAGGTCTGAATTTTCGATGACAGACAGACACGAAACGAAGTCAAGAAAAACGTGGTAAAAAGACGCACGTGGTCAGGATGTTATAATCAAGTCTGCATGACGCACGTGGTGGGGACGTTATAATCAAGTCTGCATGACGCACGTGGTCAGGATGTTATAATCAAGTCTGCATGACGCACGTGGTCAGGATGTTATAATCAAGTCTGCATGACGCACGTGGTCAGGATGTTATAATCAAGTCTGCATGACGCACGTGGTCAGGATGTTATAATCAAGTCTGCATGACGCACGTGGTCAGGATGTTATAATCAAGTCTGCATGACGCACGTGGTCANATCATCATAAACTAGTGAACATGACTGACATGAGATCATCATAAACTAGTGAACATGACTGACATGAGATCATCATAAACTAATGAACATGACTGACATGAGATCATCATAAACTAATGAACATGACTGACATGAGATCATTATAGATGTTGTCGTATTCTACTACATATCATGTCATATGCGACCAGAGTATTCCCGTTGAAATAAAAAATATAATTAGCTCAGTACTCACTGCAGTGAGTGACAGAGAGCGCATTTTCTCATCGACGAATACGTGAAGTCACGGACGGACAGACGGACGGACGGACATGCCGAGCACAATAGTGCATTTATTCCGTAAATGAGAAAATACGCTAAAAAGTGGGAACACATAATTAAATTACTGAATATTACAGACCTCCGCTGGCTGGTCTCCACAATTCAAACTAAAGTATACTATTTATTTTTGGTGCTACTGAAGGGATTTGGTATTTATTTTTAGTGGTATTAATTTTTTGATCACCTTTTTCCGTTGGTAGCTTTCTGCGAGACCAGAAAGACTCGATTCATTTAAACATCCAAAATGCTATTGAAATATTTCATTGCATTATTGATCAAATATTTGAACCAAATTCTAAAGAACCATTTTCACATTCTTAAAAAACACAATATCCATACATTACTAATCAAGACTATCATATATTTTGAATAGCATTTTAATATGTGACCATTTGTGCCGTTAACAATAAAATAAAATGGGGAATTAATACTCAAAAATAATGTTGGCTCAACAAACAAACATGAGACAAGTTTGGATGACCCACCAGGGCTACGTAGCAGACAAAATCAAAATATTTCCCATACGTAAGCACTAAACTTAAACATGCACCCAGAGAAATGAGCGAGACTGTCCAAATTGAAATACACTTTAAGCCCCTGCAAGGGTCATCCTGACACACTTTTGTCTGGCAAAGGGCGTATCGGTGCTACGTCTGCTCTCAAGTTACGCTGTAGCTAAAATTTGCATTACTTTTTCCGAAACTTCTCTTTAACTTTAAACACTTCTCTTTAGCTTTAATATTCAAAAATAATATGAGAAATTCATTGTACATCTGTAAGATTAGAGACACTGGATTCTTTAGAAGTGTCTTTAAAAAGTAATTTTTAAATATATATTATGTTTCATACATTGACCCACTTATTTGAGAAAGTGTATGACCTGCTCTGAGTGCTTGACATGGTGCCGCCAACGCTGTAGCTACAATTAGCATCACTGTTTCATACATTGACCCATTTATTTGAGAGAGTGTATGACCTGCTCGGAGTGCTTGACGTGGTGCTGCCAACGCTGTAGATATAATTAGCATCACTGTTTCATACATTGACCCATTTATTTGAGGGAGTGTATGACCTGCTCGGAGTGCTTGACGTGGTGCTGCCAACGCTGCCTGAGGCTGTGGTACTCAGCGGTCTTGGTCTTCATGTACTCCAGGCGCTCCTTGCCCGGCAGACCAGCGGGGTACACGTCCAGCAGGTGCTTCCACACCACCTTCCTGCCATCACAGTGAAGCTATTAGCTAAATTTGTTCACAATTATCATTATTATTATAGTTACAATTGTTTACAGTTATTATTATTACAGTTAAATTTGTTTACAGTTATTATTATTACAGTTAAATTTGTTTACAGTTATTATTATTACAGTTAGGTACAGTTGTTCACAATTATTATTATTATTATTATAGTTACAAATGTTTACAGCTATTATTATTACAGTTACAGTTGTTCACAATTATTATTATTATTAAAGTTACAATTGTTTGCAGCTATTATTATTATTACAGTTACAGTTGTTTACAGTTATTATTATTACAGTTACTACTACAGTTGTTCACAATTATTATTATTATTACAGTTACAGTTGCTTACAGTTATTATTATTATTACAATCATATATTCATTGCTGTAGTGCAAGTTTCCAAGTGACGCTGCTATTAGAATGCAACAACGGTTCATTCTTGGCATCTCCTCTGGAGAAATGATACTTATTTGTTCTATTTTGCTTATCCAACTAACTGTGGAGTGTGGGACACTAAACATGGGCCTATATGAAGCAGCATGAAGCCCCATTGTCATTAATACCAAAATAGTTACACAAATACTTGTAAAACAGATCCACTGCAACAGGAAGAAAATGGAAAATTTTCAAAGAAATTATTGAAATGTATATTAAATTTTTTTCCAAATTACGTTTCTACATTTTTCTCGCTGGCGCATGTTTCCATGGACAGGTAAAATGTCATAAACACATTAGGAATAATAGGGCAAGTATAGCTACTGTATGTATCCAGCATTGTGCATGATGTAGGTTAGCTACTCAACAGTTTCAGACCACATGTACATCCTCGTGGCTGAAGGTTCCTCCTACCACAGCCCCATCAGCAACTCACCCAACTGAAGTTCCCCCACCACAGCCCCAGCAGCAACTCACCTAAGTGAAGTTCCCCCACCACAGCGCCAGCAGCAACTCACCTAAGTGAAGTCCCCCCACCACAGCGCCAGCAGCAACTCACCTAAGTGAAGTCCCCCCACCACAGCCCCAGCAGCAACTCACCTAAGTGAAGGCTCCAAGCCTGCCATGTAGATGGTCTTCCTGAGTTCGTTGACTTTAATGAGGACGCCGACGTTGTCGAGGAAAGACTGGAACTTGACGTCGTCCATGGGCGCCATGACAGCAACGTCCTTCTGAGTGCTCTCAAGGGGCTGCCGCGCATCCCCTGCAGGCGGGAGCAGGTCGTCGGGCCAATTCAGGGCCCTCTGCATGAGCCCCAGTGTCTTTTCCATCTGAAGATGAAAGTCTTAATTCTAACCAGGGCTCATAATTTGATTGTGGACACAAAAATGAAAATGTTGAATAATATCAGGACCATGTTGAATGACCAGATATAATGTTCACAAATTATTTCAATTTAAAGTTGAAAACCTATTTAAATTTTGCAAAAATTTACTTATCCAGCATTAGGTATTATATGGCAATATTATCCAGACAGCGTGGAAACTTCCTTTGTATAAAATAAAGTTTGAAAGCAGTTTCTCTTCATTCCCAAACTGCTTCTCAAAACTTCAATCATGTAGGTTGGTGGAGCAGTTATTAGTCATGAGAATCAATGTAAGAGGCATCGAGACATTGCACACCTTCTCTCTGAATATGCCAGGCAATTTAGTGGAATAGTTGTTGGCAGCAGCAGCAGTAAGGTGTGGCAGTCGAGGCACAATATCCAGACCCTCCCAGCTGCCAGTGCTGCTAAAGCTGCCACTGCGGCCTGCCTCCACCTTCACTAGCAGGTGAGGTTCACAGGGCCTGAAAAGTTTGAATTAATTTTTAATGCATCACGCTGTTAAAGCATAAACGCCAAATGAGCTATATTTTAGCTTGAAAAATGAGATATCTGCTTTTTAATTTTGATAATTCACTTTAGATGGTTTTTGGAAATATAAAATATAAACATCGCTACAGACACAAAATTTACTAATTCAAGTAACCCCATTGAGGTAAAAGCTTGGAATTGGCAACTATATTTGCAAGTTTATTGTGTACTTGTTTGAGATATCAAGGACTGAATGGATTACAAAATCACAAAAAAATGTAAATAAACAATAGGAAGTAAAACTTGTTGATTTTATTTATTATATACAAATATTAACTGCATATTTCTTGGAGTTTTACATACTAAATTTTCCAAGTTACATAATGTGTTCAAAAATTTCTCTTCACCTTGAAAAAGCCAACTCCAGGTCAAAGTCAGAGACAAGAGGAAGCCATAAAGCCTCCGGTAGACGCTCATCTCGAGACAGGTAGCTAATTTCAAACTCTCTGTAATGCACAAGAATAAGTTTAGACACATGGAGAAGCATATAACTTAGAGGCAATATCATTGGCTTTCCTAATAACCACTATATAAAATGAAAGATTTTAATAAGAAATAGAAAAATTTTTTGCTAATTCATATAAAAAATAATTTTAAACCTACAAGATTCTGATATACTTATAAACTTTTTTCATTAACTTTATAAGTGAAGATTTGTTCCACAAGATGACTAGGTGATTAAGGGAAGATTAGTTGATAAACCCAATATCTCTTGATAGAAATATAGAATAAAACAGGCCTTACCTAGAAGATAATTTGAATGCTCTGACAACCAAGTTCTGCAGCACAGAGAGAGTGGTAAGCTGGGGGTCCACAGAGAACTTGCAGCACTGAGATATCCCATCTAAATTACAGTGCTGCACATTGTAGGACACGTTATTTTACATACTTATACAGTTAATCAAGACTGGTTCATTTCAGATGCAGTGCACTCAAATAACATATTCATATATGATTTAGGGAAATAAATGAATATTACGGTATTTCTACATACAAACAAGTAGAATTGAAACAACAGCTGGAAGCTTGAAATAATCAGTGTAAATGTTTGGTGACAAAAATCTAAATAAAATAAGCGATAGATTAAGTAATTCACTGTTATTTTTTATAGATTACGTCACATTCAAAGTACCTACTTCAGAACTCACATCAATTCACTCACCCGTATAACTTTTATCCTCACAGCATCAGCTGGTGGCAAGGGAGAAGCCATGCTTCTACATCAAATTACTGGCAGAATTTACTGATTATTTGGGGAAAAACAACACAAATTTGGTACAATGACAGTAGGATAGGAATTGGTGAATTGACAAAGTTTGTGCCATTTATAATCATTTTAGCCCTTTGGTATCATTAAACATCCTTCAGACAGCAGGGTCTGTCTTGATCAACAACTGTTGGAGAGTATTACCGATCATATATAAACATTATTGTTGTTGAATGTGTTATAAAATAAAAGAAATTTAATTTAATTATCTCTACAAAAGAGTTCATGATAGTTAACATAAGGTGCAACTAGAGTAGTGCTGTCAAATGGAGTAATAAGAGACAGGCGGGGTAAATCGGGAGTCATTCCACATTTCGTAGAAATGTTGTAGCAGCTAAACCATTCAAAATATTTCAAAACTAAATATAGTGGCATAAAATTCAACATTTTTACTATCTATGTAGCAAAAAGCAAGTTCAGAAATCATACATTTATTAACTTAAAAAAATCTCTGAAAAAAGTGTGAAAATGAGATGTTGGAAAAGTACCTCCGCTAAGGTCTATAGCAAAAAAATATTGGCCGTATCAAAAAATTTCAATTACAGAAAAGTTGCACACAGGTGTTGGGACATTGGCTTACAAACATGATTGACAGAATTTGCATATCTCATTAAAATAATGGCAGCCATTTCTGCATGATGGGCTAATAAGGGACACCCCCTTGGGATAATAAGGGACACCTCCTTGGGGTAATAAGGGACATCCCTAAAAATGCATTCACAGTAGAACCTCAGTTAGCAAAGGCTTACACAAAATTTTGATTACAAACAAAAATTTTTGATTAGGGTAAACGCGGTATATTCAGACATCGTGGGTAAATCCGACACCTCTCTAGTTTTTCCTTTATATTAAGCTTTGTTTTAGTTCCATGCGTTTGTTGATGGTTGAAATAGTGACGTCATACATTTGCGCATCAAACTACTGCCAAAACACTAGGTCTGGGCCATCTAACAGGAAAATGTTGAGATCCAAAGAGAGACGGTATATGCCACCCAATGAGATCATCGAAAAATGTGTCAAAGTTGACAGTTGACCTTGCTCTACCAAATAGAGATAAACTGTTTGTGTAGAAAGAATATTATGGTTCGAGACTTTTAAATACGTCTGTGAATATATTAGGAATCCTTCAAGTATACGGTACTTGTATTTGCTGATTTCAAGTGGTAAATAAATTAATAGATGATTAAGTTGAGAAACAGATTTAGACACATAAAAACTAATTCTGACACAACTTGAATTGGACACACACAGCTCGTTCCAAGCTGTGTGCAAAAATTAAAATTTTCTTAATTAAAAGCTTAATAACTTAATTAAAAGCCTAATTAAGTAGTGCTCAATATTCAATAGTGTTCTAATTCAAAGCCGTGTCGTATTCCAATACAGCTCACACAGCGATCGGAATTCGAACACGTGGATATCGGAATTACGTATCAGTACAATTTGAAGCGCGGTTGGAATACGTCTCACCACGAGCCAAATACCTATAGTCACACACAGTGTCGGAATATAAGGATTTGGTAGGTTTGCATTCTAAAGGCTTTTAAATAAATATGGCAACATTTTGTGACGTTTCATCGTTGCTGGCGCGTAGTGCGGTGTTTTGAGAGGCATGTAAAGCAAACAGAACTCGAGTAACGCATACGGTTATTTTTTTATAGTTTTTCATTTCTTGATGCGTCCTTAATGTGTCGGAATATACCTCGTTTACCCTACATTTACCTTGCTCAGTGAAAAAAATTTCACTTAAAGAAAAATTAATGCATCATTGGTCATCACAAAATTGTGCATAGAATGTCATAGATAGAATTGTGCACCAGGCAACATACAATGAAAAGTAATTAACCTAAACTATGATTGGTATTTCTCCAAAAAATATGATACCTTATGCCGCATTTAGTCACACACAGTGTTGGAATTCAGCAATTTTGTAGATTTGAATTCTAAAGGCTTTTAAATAAATATGGCAACAGTTTGTGATGTTTCATCATTGCTGGCGCATAGTGTGGTGTTTTGAGTGACGTAAACCAATCAGAACTCGAGTTGCCCATACAGTGATCTATTTATAGCCATTTATTTCTTGCTACATCCTTAAGGGGACCAGCTACCCTAAAATTTTCACTTCTGGCGTTTTCCGGTTTTTGTGCTCATCTCTAAAGCTTACTTTTCTACACATTCAACGGTACCAGAATCATCCCTGTACGTCAAAAAATGATTTTGTGACAGCTTCCCAAAGAAGGGCAGTTTTTAGGCCTTTTAACAAATGTCTATGGGATTTAATTACAGGGCTGGACAAACTAAAAAGGAACGCCTGACGTAAAGCGGCCAATCATGACATTATCCGGTGCTTATACTCATCTTAAAGCTTACTTTCAGACAATTCTATTGGTAGCAGAATCATCTCTCTACCTCCATTTTTACGTTCACCACGCCCCATGGAACAGGGGGTGGTGGGGGGCGGCCTTCACTAATTGCTAAGGCAATAAATAGGAGGCGTGACTACATATACTGTGGGATGCAATGCAATCTTTCAGTGCCTATCATGACAGCAAGGTGGAAGGTGTGCAGCCACTCGCTCTACACCTTCCTCACTTACTTTTAAGGCTTAGTTTCGGTATGTTGGCTACATTACGACTCTTTTAAGTCATTTTACATGCTGCCCGCCAGTTTTTTGGGCGCCGAGAAAACCTACGATTAGCACACTGCAAACCTATCTCCTCCTATAGTTTTCAAGCTACAGCAATGAGACACATATCATTCGATTTGTAAATAAAATATCTATCAACCTAGCCATCGCTTTTTTTTTAATTTGTGCATGGTTCATCTTATATATGGGGGAGAAGGGGGGGAGGGGGTGAAAAAAGTGAAAAAATGGGAAAAACACACATAAAAAAAACTATGGGGAAAATGAAAAAAAGGGATGGCAGAGTTGATAGGTATGGTCTTTACGAATCTAATGATATGTGTCTCGATATTGTAGGACGATATTTGTGGGAGGAGATAGATTTTTTATAGTACCCGTTATTTGTCCGTTTTCTATGAAAATCACCTTTTCTATCAATTTTTTGAAAAATTCATAGAAGTGAAATGTTATTATTTTTACATTTTACGTATGTATGTGAAGTTTCATAATGATCAGATAATAACTGTAGGAGTTATAGGCTACCTCGGTTTTAGGGTAGCCGGTCCCCTTAACACGTTGACTACAATTGCTTCATCTTGTACTGTTATTTCATTTTTAGTGCTGTTTTTAAACAGTTTTGCCAGATGGTCATTTTTTCCGGAAAAATTCCGTGATTTAGTTTTTCTCAATTGCATTGGCTGGCTAAAATTTATGATAAGGGTACTTCCTAATTAAATTTTAAATACTGCAATAAGAAAATGAATGGAATTTTTATAGCAGAACTGCAGAAGCTACAGATAAACTAGGATATATTGAGTTATCAGCCTTTTTTTGGGCCTTTTTTGTTCTCGGGTTTGGCCAATTTTAGGCAACCTTAATTATGTATCACTACGTCACGGTCCTGGCGAATTACATTTCGTGGTACGCATGTGTACCACTTCGTAGTCATTAGTCAACATGTTAAGGTGTCGGAATATGGTGTGTTTACCCTACACACTAACATAGTAGTGTGACAATCTGGCAAAGCAGAGACTTTCTTACACTCTTCTTCAAGACTCAAGCTCATTTTTGGGTCCTATTACTCTACACATGTATAAATATGTAGACTACTAGACTAGTGAAGTACCGTAAAATGGGGTAACTTTGACAACTTTTTTTTCAAATATATAAGACTCTGTAGAGTCTGAAACATAAAGAAAAAAACATTAATAGGTGTATCAAACATAAAATATGTTATATAGGTACCTATGGTAATTTCAACTTAATTTCCAAGCCGGTCAATGTTACCCCGTCACGGCTGCCATTAGGTGGTCAAAGTTAACCCATTGGGGGGCAGCGCCCCCCATTTGCAAACTATGACACTTTTCTAAAATTTGTCTTTTGCATATGTATATAACTAGAAGAGTTTTACTACAATGCATCAAAACCTGGAGTTATTTTACCAAGAAATAAAAAATTGGAGGGAGTACTCCGACAGGCTTTAAATAATAGCTCTTTTTCGTGGGTCACATTTTTAACTTTTTAACCTATTAGATATGCAAACTTTTTAACTCTTTCTATTGTGTTACGTAGCCTCAGTATTAGGCCTTTGATGGCCATTGACAAAATTTTTCTATGTCGAATTGTTTTTGAGTTTTGGGCGTTTTTGTTAAAAAAACGAAAAGTGGTCAAAGTTACCCCGCCGGTCAAAGTAACCCCATTTTAGGGTAAAATGGGGTAACTTAGACCACTTTTTTATTTCAAAACAATGCCATTTTTTTACTAGACAAGTTACACTTGAATTGAAACATGCAAAATACAGGTAGCTTTACTCACCATAAATTGCTGGCTCCTGCCTCTCATAGTTTTGATGTAATTTCAAAATAAGTGATAGTCTTTGTTACCCCAGCTCCTGGGGTTTCTTTGACCGGGTGGTAAAATCAATTTTATTTTTTGGTAAAATAACTCCAGGTTGTGGTGCATTGTAGTAGAACTCTTCTAGTTAAATATGCAAAAGACAGATTTTAGGAAAGTGTAATAGTTTGCAAATGGGGGGCACCGCCCCCCAATGGGCGAAATGTGACCACCTAATGGCAGCCATGACGGGGTAACATTGACCGGTTTGGAAATTAAGTTAAAATTACCATATATAAGACTCTGTAGAGGCTGAAACATAAAGAAAAAAACATTAATAGGTGTATCAAATATAAAATATGTTATATAGGTACCTACGGTAATCTTAACTTAATTTCCAAGCTGGTCAATGTTACCCCATCATGGCTGCCATCAGGTGGTCAAAGTTCTCCATTGGGGGGTGGCGCCCCCCATTTGCAAACTATGACACTTTCCTAAAATTTGTCTTTTGCATATGTAACTAGAAGAGTTCTACTACAATGCATCAAAACCTGGAGTTATTTTACCAGAAAATAAAAAAATTGGAGGGGGTACTCCGACAGACTTTAAATAATAGCTCTTTTTCGTGGGTCACATTATTAATTTTTTAACCTATTAGATATGCAAACTTTTTAAATCTCTCTATTGTGTTACGTAGCCTCAGTATTAGGCCTTTGATGGCTATTGGCAAAATTTTTCTATGTCAAATCGTTTTTGAGTTTTGGGGGTTTTTGTTAAAAAAATGAAAAGTGGTCAAAGTTACCCCGCCGGTCAAAGTAACCTCATTTTACGGTACTGATCCTTGTGGGACTCCTGATGTTACTGAGTGCTGTGTGGACAAAGTATTCTGTACTCTTACTTGAATACGCCTGTGTTGTAGGAAGCCACAGATGAATGTCAGCATTCTGCCCTTCACTTGCAGGTTTTCAAGTTTTTGGAGCAATCCAGAATGCCATACTGAGTCAAAAGCTCGAGTGAAATCCAGAAAAACAGCGATGGTTGGGTTGTCCAGTATGAGACCATATCTGATAGCCGAGTCCAGGCGAGTAAGGGGTCTAGTGTGGAGTGTCGAGTTCGGAAGCCGCTTTGATTTGGGTCAATGTGTGATGCACGCTCAAGATAGGATCGGAGGCGATGGCTTACCATTTTTTCAAATAATTTGCAAAGGCTATTTGTGAGTGCTATAGGGCGGTATGAGGATGGGTTTGTAGGTGATTTGTTGGGCTTTAGGAAGGGAAGGATGTGAGCCAAGTGCCATTGATGGGGGACTCCTTTTGCCCAGATGTAGTTGTAGAAAGCTAGTAAACGTGTTTGTTGCAGGCGTGGTAGGTGCGTCAAGAATGAGGGTGGTATGGTGTCAGGGCCTGGTGCTGATGAGCGTGTAGCGTTTATTGCTCTCATTAGGTCTGCTTCAGTGAAGTCGCTGTTATACCAAGAGGTGAGGTTTAGTGTCGAGGGCATATTTTGGGTTTTCTGGAGTTTTGTGATTTGGGGGATTGGGCTGTGTGGTCCAGTAATTTCTCTAGCCAGTGCATTTGCTACCTCTACTGGGTTTGTAAGGAGTCTATTCCCAACATCTAGGATGATGGCTGTTTGCGGGGGTGCTGCTCTGAGTCAACGAATTTTATTCCAGATTTTGGTTGTAGTTGATCTATAGGTCAATGATTGTACAAATTTTGTCCAGCTGTTTTGTTTAGCCTGAAGAACTGTGCATCGGAACATTGCAGCTGCACGCTTGTAGTTTATCCACAAGTCAATGGTACCTAGCTTCCGTCTGTATAGTTCTAGGGCCTTTCTTTTGGCTCTGAGTGTAGCAGTGCACTCTGGAGTCCACCAACAGTGGGTTTGCTTTTGTTTCCTGGGTTTAGTAGAGATGGGGATTGCCAGTGCACCTGCTGTCAGCAAGCGGCTCTCCACTGCACTGCATGCCTCGGAAGGGGAAAGGAATGTTTGTGGGAGGTCTACATGTATTTGGAAGGCAGCCCAATCAGCTTTGTTTAGAATCCATCTGGGCCTGGAGGGATGGGGTATGTTTATGCTATTAATGGTTATTTTGAGGGGGAAGTGGTCACTGTGGTATGGATCAGGAGCTGGTTCCCATGTTAAGGAGGGAGCCAGAGTAGGTTTAGTTATGGTGAGGTCAATGTGTGAGTGTACCTGTTGGGCTTATGTGTGTGGGTGCTCCTATGTTTGCCAGTATGAGGTTATTTTTGTGAAGCCACTCTGCTCTGAGCCGGCCTTGCTGGTCTGAGTAGGAAGATCCCCAGGATTTGTGGTGGGCATTTGCATCGATGCAGATGATGAAAGGTGTAGTGAGCAATTGGAGTATGTCTGTCAGTTTGGTGAGGAGAGTTTTGTTGTCTGTATAAGGGGGGAGGTATAGTGAGCAAATTGCAAGTTTGAAGGAAGGGAGGTATATGCATGTGGCGCAGGCTTCAGTGTGTGTGGGCAGTGTTATGGTTTGTTGTTGGGATACCATTAAGGGGACCGACCAGGCTAAAATTTTCAATTTTGGCGTTTTTCGGTTTTTGTGCTCATCTGAAAGCTGCAATTCTGCTCTTTCCAATGGTACCACTGCCATCGCTGTACGCCAATATTTACGTTAATGACGTCTCCTTTAAAGGGAAGCGGGTGGGAGAGTTCTTTAAGAAATTAGATATAAATTAATTAGCTGCTGAAATCTTTGAATATAGTTTCTACTTGAGTTGTGCTGCAGTTACATGCTTAGTCTCATCTTAAAGCTGACATTCTGAGCTTTCCAACGATACTACTGCCATCTATATACGGCAATATTGACGCAGATGGCCCGCCTTTATTTGGGGGCGGGGGGTGGAGTTCCTTAAGTAAATAGACGAGAGATAATTACAGCGGCAAGACTACATATCTGGGTGCATCTGGCATCTGAGCTCAGTTACCCTCCTAGCTTTGAACGGAGAGGTGCGCTACAAGTTGCTGCTTGCATCCTTGAGTGGACTAAGCTACAGAAGCCTGTAATTTGGTATCCATGCTACATTGAGTGCCTATCCAAGGCGCGCGAGACTTTGTCGCGCCGTCCTGAAAAGTTCAACTTACTGTCACGGAAAACCTATCTCCTCCTACAGTTTTCAAGCTACAGCAATGAGACATATACCATTCGATTCGTAAAGACCAGGCCTATCGACTCTAACATCACTTTTTTGAATTTCGGTCTGGTTCGTTTTTTATATGGGGAAGAAGGGGGGGGAGGGTGAAAAATGTAAAAAATGGGAAAAAACGTCATAAAAAAAAAAACTAGGTGGAAAATGAAAAAAGTGATGTTAGAGTCGATAGATATGGTCTTTACGAATCGAATGATACGTGTCTCGATGTTGTAGGATGATATTTGTGGGAGGAGATAGATTTTCTGAAGTACCCCTTTTTAGCAGTTTTCTATGAATTTCAAGTTTTCTATCAATTCTTTTGAAAAATTCATAGGAGCAAAATGTTTTTTATTTTACATTTTACATATGTATGTGGAGTTTCATGACAATCGGATAATAACTGTAGAAGTTTTCCGTATGCCCGGTCGGTCCCCTTAAAGGCATGGATGGATGTTCCACCCCCTCCAAGCAGTCAGTCTGTTCTGGTAACTGGCGGGCAGCGTGCAAGTGTAAGTGGGTATGTGGGTGGCACATTTGTTTCCTGCATGCAGAGGATATCTGGTGTGTGGTTGTCTAGTGCTGTTTGGATATATGGGATGTTTGATCTAAAACTGCGGATATTCCATTGTAGGAGTGTGAGAGTCATTGCGAATGTGTTAGAGAGGTGAGGCCTAATTCTGTGAGCAGTGAGGTGATAGTTGATTCAATTTGTAATTTTGATCCTAGTTCAATAAAGCATTCTACTTTGGCACTTAAAGAGGTTGCAAGTAGAAGTTTCAGTATTAATGGGAGCAAAGATAGGAACCAAGCTGGAGGGGCTTGTGTTGCTGGAAGAGTTTGCAGGGGGGTTTGTGCATGATCATGATGAATTCTGATGTGTTGTTTTTGAGGCCCTATTTGTGGTGGTGACAGAGGTGGTAATGGGGGCAGAGAGGGTTCATGTTCTTCCATGTCATCCAGCTCCTGCTGTGTCATAGGAGAGTGGTCTGGGCTGCTACTTTGAACTTTCTAGAGGTGGAAGTTGTCTATCTGGAAACCAGTAGTTGGAATTTTGGGTTGTACAAGTGGTGCTCTGTTGAGAGTTTTTTGGTTGTTTCTGTGACTGTGTAGAGGTAGTGTTTTTACTCATCAGGGGATTGCTATTCTTCTTTTGTGGATAGGTTAGGGGAGGGAAGGTGGCTAGAGAGCAGAGTGTTGGTGGTTGTGTCTGAGGCAAGGAGGTCTGTCTGGTTGCATGGGTTTGTAGTCTTCTGTTGCTAGAGTTGTCATTGCCATTGGTTTGCTGAGTTGGCATAGAGAGTTTCTTCCTGGCTTCTGGGTAGGAGACTTGGTGGTTTACAGAGTAATGGCAAATTTCTACTTCTTGAAGGTATATAGGGCAACTTTTATCTAAGGCATCATCATTCCCTTTACAGTTCACACATCGTGGGGGCTCTTGGCAGGTTAGTCCACTATGTCTGTTTGTCCCACAATGGCTGCAGTGTTGGGGACTACGACAGTAGGTTGAAGAGTAACCCCACCTGCAGCACTTGTAGCATTGGATGGGATTTGGATAATATGGATCCACTTTATAGCTGCTATATCCAATCCGAATGTTTTCAGGTCGTAGTTTGTCTAAAAAGGTCAGCACGAACGTAGTGGCAAACCAGAGCTTTTTTGGAATCAGTTCATTTTTAATTTCCTCAATAACTCAAGATTTAAACCAATTTCTTAAGTATGATAATGCTGGTATCCATGATACTTTATTGGTCTACTTATAAGACTCAAAAATGAACTTGAGGGACAGAGGGAGAGTCTAAAAAACTCTCTGCTTTGTCACTATGAGTACTAATAATGGCATATGGGACTTTGCTGGGTCACGGAAGAGTTTTCTAACAGCTATGACTCCTGAGGGTCTTAGAAGTTCCAAATTCCAATAAATCTTCAATTTTTTCTTCTTGAAGTTCTGGTGCATAGATTTTTCCAAGAGTAGTTTGCGAGTTCAGCGCTATTGAGATTTGGATAGGGAGCTGTCTATCTTGGGATATGGCAAGAAGTTTTACTGCAAGTAGTGTATTCACTTGTTCTAATGTGTGGCAAGTGATATAAAGCCCTCCTGATTCCTGAATGAGTGGTTGCTTGTGCTAGGCTTTGGTCCTTGTCTTCCTGCTCTAGTAGCTCTACCATTGATTCTATTTTTGCTTGCAATGATGGTAAAGTTAATAATGGAGTTGGTACTTCTTTTTGACTTGAAGCATTATTATTTGAGTTTGCTGGATATAAACTTGCTGTTTCAATAGCTTCTGGCTGTGGGCAGGGTTTTTTGTGAGGTGGTTTTTCAATTTTTCATTTGTGTTCATATCACCAGCAGTTAGGTCAGATTTTGATGAGCTGGTGCTTGATGACAAAACTCCTTCAGGATTTGAGTCTATAGATGTGAGACTCTCAAATTCTCAATGCTGAAGGCTATTTGATCATATTTTGTCTGGCTTTTCAGTTAACAGATTACCAGATTTTGTCCAGAGTTGTTTTACTGTTATTTTCAGTGCATTCAGATTTCTTTGCTTGGTGGTGGCATTTTTGCTTTGGTACTTGCTTTTCTTCCTGGTCTTTTGGAAGATTTGAGGCTGTTTTTACTGGGGCTGACAAAGAATGAGCATTTAGCTTGTCAACTTTTCCCTTGGGCATCCTTGAAAGTTGAAGTTGAAGTAGGCTACCTTGTCTTGTCGGTTGGCTGTCTGGAGGTTTTGATCCCAGACTTGGATGTTTCTTAGTTTTGATCATGATCAATTTTCTGCTTTAAGATTTTTAATTATTTTTCAAAGAGATTTGACTTTGAGAAGACTAGATTATCTAGAATGATCTGCAGTGCAGATATCACTTGGCGCTTTGGGATAACACACAGCACATCTTCACACTTTCACGGTCAAATCGAAACTCCCGACTGACATTACTAATCGTCTATGAAAACTTATCCTCCACAGCTGAGAGCTGACAGCTGATAATTACGGCGTCTATAAAGTATAAAGTGCCTCAACGGCAACGTTTGCCTGTTGTGGTTATTATTTGTTATGCCGGCGCCGTCAATTTCAGTAGAACTTAATGCAATGCGAGCTCGTGTAGAAACTGATTTTAGAAAATTAACTCGAACGTAATAATTTTTTTATTGCTTTATGTGGTAAGAATCGCTTTTTGAGGGCATTGTATCTAAACTATCCAACGTGTCTGGGGTGTTTTTTTTACTAGATTTAAATGAGACTAAGGTATAGAAAATATTCCGTACGTTCTGAAAAGGTATGCGTCAGGAAATGACATTCATGAATATTTGAGAAACATTGATTTAAGGTCAACCAGGCAGGCACGCAGGTCAACCACTCTGTTAAGAGTATTATTCGCTCTCAAGGCGAATGTGTCATGCTAGCCAGGCAGGCACTCTTTGTAGCCGGGTTAGCGATAGAATACATATTCAAGTACTGGTTGCATCAAGACTCAGACCTAATGGTTGAAGACAGGCAACGTGTCCTTTGAGCAGATGTGATCGTGTTCCTTCATTTCGCTAAATTAGCCCCGCCCGGAGTTTCTCCCTTGGAACCTTTAGGCATATCGTTGAGGTCAGATTTTTGAAATGAGCGGCCAAAAACTGGTGACAAGAAAATCGATAGAGATTCAGAAACGTAGGTATAAACTACAGAAAATCATTCATTTGCCTGAAAGTTTTTAAGGCATCATTCACAGACAGAGATCCTCAAATATGTTCACGATAGTCACCCACATTTATATGCCCTTATTTTCTAAATCGCAATCAAAAACTGGACTCAGAAAATATTTTTACCACCAACTTTTATATATGTTTAGACAATTTTCTTTCAAATCAACGGTTACGTAAATTAACAATGATAACACTTGGTAACGGCAGGTAATGCAAGGTAACGGGAGATTAGGTTAGGCTAAGCATTACATGCTTATCTACCAAAAAATTATTGATACATGAGTTAATATTGATATTAATATTGATACTTAAGTTACCCATACATGCATTTTAAAGATGATTTTCAACAACATATCCATCAAAAAGTTCTCATAGTCCATTTTCATCCAAAAATGTTACTCTAAAAATAAAATTTATATTCTTTTTTTTTCAGTAAAATAGAAGTTGTATGACCAATTATATATATAGAATTATTTTGACTTGAATTTTCACTAAACTATGAAACATATTCATGTGCCGTAGAAAATTTTGTGTGTTGTATATTCAATAAAAAATCCTTGTATGTGTCTATATTTGAAGCCTGATAGGCTAGATTATTAATGACTAAGAAAGTACGATATCGGGCATAGTACGCGACATTGCTTTGCAAATCCCCCTTGCGCCCAGGTCGTGTCCAAACAATAATTATTTACTTTTGAATTTCTCAATCGCCGAAGTTTCGTACGTGTGTTGACGAATGCTGGCTGCATCGTACCAAGCAATGTAAACGATCGCTTATGTTATTTATTAATAATGTACTTCAAGAGAGTAACGCTCAGAGCTGGGCAGCGCTACTTTGAAATGTAGCGGCCGCTACCGCTACATGCTCTAAATTTAGCGGACGCTACCGCTACAATTGTAGCGCCGCTACCGCTACTGAAAATGTAGCGGCCGCTACATGCAGCGCGCTACTGCCTACCTCTGGTAACAACTAACATAATGACACTAGTAACAGGCTGAAGTTGACAACATTATACCGAAACCTTTCGTACAGTTTTATTCTGTAATTTATATTATGTATGTATCATGCTGGTTTTTAAATAATATTTAATACTATTAAGTAAAATCCAAAGGCTTTATCTATAAATGTAGCGGTAGCGCTGTAGTGGCAAAAACTCGTATCGCTACTTAAATATGTAGCGGGCGCTACCGCTACCGCTAGAATTGCTTAAATGTAGCGCCACTCCCGCTACCGCTACTGAAAACGTAGCGACCGCAACTAGCGGCCGCTACATGTAGCGCACTACTGCCCACCTCTGGTAACGCTACACCTTTATTATACAGTATACACTAATGTGCACATAGATTTTTTGAAATCTTCATAACAATTTTTTCCTTTAACTTGTAGGTTGGAAGTATCTACTGCTTGTTCATTGCCCCATCATCAATGAAATAAAGTGATATTTGCCTTCATCATCAAAAATCATAATAGACGCTGGCTGACTTTTCTCTCCATTTCATAGCGACCAATTATGAAAAAACGCCTTAAAATAATATATGTATTTATGAAAGCCAATTTTCGAGTCATATAATATTTTGTTCAAGTTGCTCAAGTCATATAATATTTTGTTCATGTCTCTCGAGTCATGCATATAATACTTACTTGAATCATAACATAGTGATGTCGGCGCTGGAGTGTAGGCCTGATGTGGCCTGTCGCCGATTCTTTTCCTTTTCGTGCCTTGTTCATAGATCTAAACTCGTGTCATTTGCCCGGATCTTTTCATGACTGGCGATAGTTTGAAGTAGCTACTAGACTTCCACCGGGTTCGATAAGGAGCTAGGCATTTCAAATCTGAACATATATTTTTCCATAGCTTTATCTAGTCTGTTCTTGAACGCGTTCATACTTGGAGCGCCAAGTGAGCAAGTCATATAATATTTTGTTCATGTCTTTCGAGTCATATAATACCTACTTGAATCATGTGAGCAAGTCATATAATATTTTGTTCATGTCGTTCGAGTCATATAATATTTTGTTCATGTCGTTCGAGTCATATAATACCTACTTGAATCATGTCGCGCAAGTCATATAGTATTTGAATCATTTCAGGACACAGAGACTGTCAGGGTCAGAGAAGAGTGGCTGGCGGGCCTACACTGAAAAGAAGAGCAAGAAGCCTGGCCCCATGCCTGGCCCCATTGCCAAGTCCCAAATCCTGGTGACGTGAAGCCCTGGGACGATGAGACCGACATGAAGGTACTCAAGAAATGCGTCCACTGCATCCAACTGGACGGGCTGGTGTGGGGCGCAAGTAAGTGGTGTGGTGTGTGGCGCAAGTAAGTGGTGTGGTGTGTGGCGCAAGTAAGTGGTGTGGTGTGAGGCGCAAGTAAGTGGTGTGGTGTGGGGCGCAAGTAAGTGGTGTGGTATGTGGCACAAGTAAGTGGTGTGGTGTGGTGTGGGGCGCAAGTAAGTGGTGTGGTGCGGGGCGCAAGTAAGTGGTGTGGTGCGTGGCGCAAGTAAGTGGTGGGGTTTGTGGCGTACAGGATGTATTAGTTCTAGTGCCAGTGAGTGGTGTAATGATAATATTGTATCGATGATCACCAGACAAAATACATAATTTCAGCAATACTATGCATGACATTAATAGCTAATACCATACTATGATATAGGTAGCATCTAATAAATCATATAATATATAATAACAGCTCAATAAACAATACAACATATAAAAACAGCCCATATAATATTATAATAGGGAAGTAATACACTTGTTTTGTTGTGTAGGTGAGCTCAAGTCCCTGGCGTCCGGCATCAACAAGCTGTCCTTCCTGAGCACAGTCGTCGACAAGATCTCCGTTGACCTCACCGAGAAAATACAAGAATTTCAGGACTACGTCCAGAGTGTTGATATTGCCGCCTTTAATAAGGTCTAGGGTCTGCTTACCTCGCCTCTAAGGTCTAGGGTCAGCTTACCTCGCCTCAATAAGGTCTAGGGTCTGCTTACCTCGCCTCAATAAGGTCTAGGGTCTGCTTACCTCGCCTCAATAAGGTCTAGGGTCAGCTTACCTCGCCTCAATAAGGTCTAGGGTCAGCTTACCTCGCCTCAATAAGGTCTAGGGTCAGCTTACCTCGCCTTAATAAGGTCTAGGGTCTGCTTACCTCGCCTCAATAAGGTCTAGGGTTTGCTTACCTCGCCTCAATATGTTCTAAATAAAATATAAAAAATAAAACGTACGGTGTACAAACCTCGGATTTCCTTGACAGATCTATGCATTTGGCTATAGAAAATATTCCGTACGTTCTAGAAAAAGGTATGCGTCAGGGAATGACCTTCGTGAAAATTTGTGAAACATTGATTTAAGCCTTAAGGTAACAAGCATCGCAACCGCGAATATTTATATGACGCCGTGAACTACTTCAGTGCGTTTCATTGAGATGCGCACTGCAGGTGCACTTCTCAGATGAGCACTCTGAGCATCTTCATTTATCTAATTTGCTGTATACAAATAACAAGATATTAGAATAGAATAGTAAACAAGTGTAAACACTGGAGAACAAAGTGTATACTCCACGGCAGGCATGCGGGTCAACCCCTTTGTAAAGAGTATTATTCGCTCTCAAGGAGGATGTGTCATGCTAGCCAGGCAGGCACTCTTTGTAGCCGGGTTAGCGATAGAATACATGTCCAGGTACTGGATACATCAAGACTCAGACGTTAACCTAATGGTTGAAGACAGGCAACGTGTCCTTTGGAGTAGATGTGACCGTGTTCCTTCATTTCGCTAAATTCACGCCACCCGAAGTTTCTCCCTTGGAACCGTTAGGCATATCGTTGAGGTCAGATTTTTGAGTTGAGCGGCCAAAAACTGGTGACAAGGAAATCAGTAAAGATTTAGAAACGTAGGCATAAACTACAGAAATTCATTCATTTGCCTGAGAGTTTTTTAAGGTGTAGCGACCAGGTATATATATTTCCTTCAGTTACCCCCGTAACTCATTTTCGAGGAACGTTGCTAGCCTAGTGAATTTTAGCAGAGTTACCCATTAACTCTGACTCAACATTATTATCCATGTTATTGCCTTGAGCATCATTATCAATTAGTAACTGCAGTTGATTTTCTGTTAAATATTATTTGGCTACATATTAATATTATTAGCACCGACCTAGGATATTACAACTTCATGTAACTCCAGTTGTCATAATCATTTGCATATCTGTAATACCGTTCTTAATCTGGCCTCTCGACCTTGACCCATATTAGGAGAATTACTTCTGTGTTTCATTCCACAATTCGAAACAGAATTGTAAGACGCTAGCGCAGTCTGGTCTCTGACTTACACGCCTTAGCGGACGCCCTATGGTTCGGCTAAGCCTTAGCCGAACCATAGGGCGTTTGGTACAACCAAACGTTTGGCACGAGTCATAGACCTTAAGGACTCAGTACCGCGCCGCTAGCATTCCCACGTCTTACAAAGGCATCATTCAAAGACAGGGATCCTCCAATATGTTTCACGATAGTCACCCACATATGTGTGCCTTATTTTCTAAATCGCGATCAAAAACTACACTCAGAAAATAATTTCACCACCAACTTTCATATATGTTTAGACAGTTTTCTTTCAAATCAACGGTTACGTGAGGTAACAATGGTAACGGCAGATAATGCAAGGTAACGGGAGATTAGGTTATGCTAAGCATTACGTGGTATAGTAATAAAGGACTTCCCACCACTACTATATAATTCCTACAACCGAGTATAGATACTTTAGTTACCCATACATAAATTTTAAAGACGATTTTCAACAACATAACCACTAAAAAATTTTCATATTCCATTTTCATCCAAAAATGTCACTCCAAAATAAAAATGATGTCTTTTTTTACCTGTATAATAGGAGCTTCATGACCAATTATATCTTTAAAATTATTTTGACTTGAATTTCCATTAAACTATCTAACATATTCATGTGCCGTAGAAAATTCTATGATTTTTTGTGCGGCATGAGATAAAAAGATGTGCCTATTTTTAGAGCCGAAAGGCCAGCTTATTAATGACTAAGAGAGTAGTATCTCGGGGTTAGTACGCGACATTGCTTTGCAAATCCCACTTGCGCCCAGTGGTGACGAAACAATAATTATTTACTTATGAATTTCTCAATCGCCGAAGTATTGTACGTGTGGGCGAATGCTGGCTGCATCGTCATCGTGTCAACCAATGTGAGCGATCGCTTATGTTATTTATTAATAATGTACTTCAAGAAAGTAACGCTACACCGTTATTATACACTAATCTGCACATAGATTGTATGACAATAAGTCACAATATCTTAATAAATTTTTTTTTCATTAACTTGTATGTTGGAATTTTTTGTTGCTTGTTCATTGCCCCATCATCAATGAAATATAGTGATATTTGCCTTCATCATCAAAAATCAGAATGGACGCTGGCTGATTTTTCTCTCCATTTCATAGCCACCAATTATGCAAAACCGCCTTAAAAATATTATATGTATTCATTAAAGCCAATTTTCGATATCTTCTTGACTTGAGGACAAATTTTGCAGATGATTTTCTCAACATAGGAGTATGAGTTGATATTTACGTCATGCCATAGTCGGGCATAACAACAGACTTACTAAGGCATGGTCACCTATTGCATAAATTACGCTTGGGTACAATATTTACAGTTTTATCTTGTGTATCGAACACGCATATCAATACGGTCACGAGATTTTATTACATATTTCTCCCTCAATAGTAATAAAGGACTAGATTTTATTTAAAAAAATAAGCTGGCAAATTTAACTTAACCTAGGCAACTTTTTTTCGCTTTAACATGAAACTTTTACGTTTTTCATCCATCATTTAAAGAGCTTAATTTTCAAAATGATCAATCTTCTCTCAGTTTTTATGCACGTCTCGGAAAAATTTCCGGCCGGGTTCGAGACGTAAATTTTTCCAAGTAAATTTACAAAAATTCGATTAAAATGTTTTATGTTTTCTGGACGTTTCAGAGCAATCCCTATCGATTAGTTCGATCGAAAAATGCACTTTTTTCCGACCCTCATTTGCTGCTGCGACGAAATTTGCTGCTGTGACAACTTTATATGTAAAATTAAAAGTTTTCTTGGCGTTTCAAATGATTTGCAGCCTTTTATTTGTGTGAACGTGGTCCGGCGGACCGGTCAGGGTCCGGGTTTTAGTCAATACAGTGAGTAAAGTAGTTCAGAGCCTCAGACTTCTGAAGTTCTGACTCAGGCCGGAGCTGCGGTGGACAACGGATGTGCGACGGGAGCGCAGCCGTGCACCACCAATTTTGTGCACCAATAAGCGCTGAATCGAACGCCTTGGATCTCTCCGGACTCCGGATATCCACCAATCAGCCGTGCACCACTCAGCTTTGTCCTCCCCTCCGGCCTTGACCACCACGGGCACCACCTGCCGTGCACCACCACTCACCAGGCCGCGGATCGAATCTGACTTCCGGGCATCGTTAAATTACGTAATTTTGCGTTCACTGCATCTGAGGTTAGGTTTCAGATAGCATAGTTCTGTTCTAAAATTTATCGTCCTTCGACAAGTTGCCGTTCGACCGAGGGCTGGTTCGACCCACGGCCTAGTTACGGACGGCTTGAAGTGTTGAAGGCTACGTTCCGGAAGGCAGGAATGATGAATCATGATGGTCCATTATATCCAGGGCAGTTGTGGTCTTCGGCAGGCGACCCGCGACGGGTTGGCGCTTGCAGTGACTGTAAAGGTGCTTGTAGCTACACGGGGATAGTGCAGACGGCTAGTAAATCTGGCTAGTGTCGGTCGCTTGGTGACTATCCAGCTAGTAAGCCTGTACACACGAGGAGAGTATAAGGTGCCGCTATCTTCTCGTTCGCCCCCGCCAGCGAGTCGTTGGAAGCCGTCGAGTGAGGTCTGTGAAGATGGATAGTGTGATCACCTTCAACAACTCGAGTCTGTACGTCTTTTTTATACTCCTCATTCTAGCCCTTAAAAATACAGCATCGGGAACAACTAAACCCTGACTAATAAGGTCTTCTTTCCGTTTCAAAATACTCTTTTTTCTCTTCATTTTGTTGGAGTAACCATCATGGAAAACGTTATACTTAAATTCATATTTTTGGAATATTTAAAAGAATAATTGAATATCGTCTGGAATCCACTTAGAAACATTATCGTTCAAACAAGCCATGATTCACGTGACCCAAGATACTTCACAGGAGCGGCACAAATGCTCTCACCATGGCTGCATCAGCGCTACTAGCCACTTCTCCAGAGTCCAGACTCCAGCCAAGATATCAACACATCGTTGTCTCTCTCGGCTGCGCCTCGGGCACTTGCCGGCGCATGCCTCTGAAGCGGCTGAACCTCTATACACGAGGCTAGTAGCGTGGACAGTTCAAGCGCCGGATGAACTAGCGGCTAGATGGGCTAGTACTATCCCTGTGTACAGGCACCTTAAGGCTGAAGCTATAGTGGCAGTGGAGAGTTTTTAGACTCTCCCTCAAGTTCATTTTGAGTCCTGGCAGTGAGGTGGCTGAGGCCCGCCTGAGTGAGTGCTGACTGCTGTCAGTGCTGTGACCGTTTGTGTCGAACTCTGCATTTCAAGTTCTAAAAATTTTCATTGATCAAGTAATAAGGATCAGAACTTTTTATTTGTTATTACTATATTTTATATAGTATATATATAATTTGTTATTACTATATTCAGTGTACTTTCTGTTGCTCTGCTTTGCCAAAGATTCAAGAAGGTTTCTTTGAGAAAATTATCACCAAAGGTTCGAGAAGGTTGCTTTGAAAAAATCATTGCCAAAGGTTCGAGAAAGTCGCTTGAGAAAGTTTAGTTCAATGGCCAAGACAAGTTTAGTTTAAATGGCCAAATGTCTACAAGCGCTTCAGCTATCAATCTTTTTCGCAACGTTAATAAAGGCTTA